CAACCAACAACACCACAACAGCAAGAATGAAATAACCAAACCAGTACCCAACTGACTACAACAGTTACCCACTCATCCCAATAGCACACTGGCACAGTCACAGAGGCCACTTCCCTGACCCACACATCCCTGCAGAAGACAACAAAACAGTCCCAACTTTCCCCACCACCAAAATGTGCATCTTTAACAAACAAATACATTGTAAAAAATTAACCAAATATTTATTATTTATTTATTTTTATTTATTCCATTTATACCCCACCTATCTGGTCATTGCAACCAATTTTAAAAAATCATTTCCACATTAAAAAAACACTTCTACATATGTAAAGTGGTTATGAGTAATAAAAACTAAACCTTTTCTTTGACGTTACCAAGGATTTCTTCTTTTCTTTTGGTCCTACTACAAAATACAGTCTGTAACCAACCATCTGAGGTAGTTGCTGTGCATGAGGGTTTTCAAATAACTTGGCTAATTTTACCAAAGGTTCTATCTTTAATACAAAGGTGAGGTACAAACATTTTAAGAATTAAATACATAGCGATTGTTGTTTAAAAGAATTTGTATTGCCGATGCTTTAATTATGATTATACACGAATGACCACAAACCTGAGCAAAGTCTCTAGCTGACATGCAATTCTTCTGTCACAGGAAAAAAGTGAACTCCATTTAAAATTGAAGGGGGGCCTTCTAGAGGCCTGGAAGGCCACATCCACTCACTTTACAAGGATGCAGCTATCCTATGCCCCACCAAAATATTTTTCTTTTTCTTCTTTAAACAGTCCCTCGATGTCTTCTAGTGCAGTCATTCTCAAAAAGCGAATTTTAGATATCCAGGACTGGGGCTGGGGTACGTGTGGGTTCGCGGGGGTTACACACTCCCTTCAGGCCACAATTTACCCATCCTGATTGAAAATCCTTGCAAGTCTATGTCAACTGTAAACTATTTGCAACTATTACAAGCTCAGTGTTGTTTGTGTATAAAATTCTTGGCAGATCACCTTTGTATGCTCCTGCATTTCCCAGTGCCCCATGTTCTGAGAAATCGAACTGAGTTCTTTAACCTGAAGTAGCTTTATCCTGTACTCATCAATGTCAGATCTGAAAGCTCTCTTTCCTTTTGGACGGTAACTGTAAATGTAGCAGCAACAGTGGAAGCTGGTTTCATGTAATCAATCTCTGCATAAACATCAATCATATCTCATCTCTCCAGACCTGCTTGATGGAGGGTCAAGAGAAATATTCCAAGAAGAAATTGATATTGCAAATCAAGACAAATCCTGATTCTTTCTTCTTGAAATCCTGAATGTCAAGTGCTTTCTTATATCCTTAATTTCTGCTCATTTTCTGTAATCCCCACTTGTTAAGCACATCCCCTGAAAACTAGAAGAAGCTATTTTAAACATGCTTGGAGTACATTTTATTTTATTTTATTTTTATCCAACAGAGGTCTATGAATTCCATTTTGTGGCCTGACTATTCTTGTCTTGCTTTCAGAGATGTTTCATTGCTGAAAATAGAGTTACTAAGAAGGAGTCATGTGGAAAAGGCATAAAATGTATCCTCTTCAAATTCAAAACTGAGCCAACTATGAACAGAAACAGCTGTAAAAGGACCTTAGCAGTTATGGTGTTCTTCTGACATAATATGAAGTATTCCAGGTTTACCAACTCTAGGGCTACAATATATAGAAGCCTCAACAAAAAGAGAAGAGTCTTCTCAAGATGCTCTAAATTATCAGAAGCAGAATAAATAATTCATAGCCTCTCAGTGGTTGTTGGGGTGGATACTTTTCATTATTTGTTTACAGGCAAACAAGAAAAAAATCAGACTCAAGCCTAGATCACTTCACATCATGCAGCACTCAGTTTTTATTAGGAAACACCCTGGACACAGTTTTATTTAAACTTCCCACATATTTATGGGAGGCCTTGTATAGTAGGGAACAGAAAATGTACTAGGCCTGGAAGTCCAGCATGACTTTGATCTGTCCCTTTTATATAGCCTTTTTTTTGATAAGCGGGGGGGGGGGGGAACCAGCCATCATGATGAGGATTAAGAAGAATGGGTTATGACCTTATTAGGCTTATTAGAGGGGAGGGTCTGTTGTCATCAGAGGTAATGAACTTTGTTGAGCTCAAGGCCAGAAAAAATATTTTGCAACTTGAGGGAGAATATACCACACATTCTTCATCTCGGCAATAAAAAATATACCAAAAGCCTTTCAATCAACTAACAACTTGTTGCCCTTTTGCAACAGCTAAAATATGCTGCCTCAGGGGTTTGCCTCAATGTGCCTAATGGTAGATCTGGCCCTGGTACAACTACTCTCCTGGCATCTAATTTAGAAATACAAGTCCTCCATAACATTCTGTTCACTTTATTATTCTTTGCACCTGAGTTCTTAGGTGGATATTTTCTGCTACAAATAATCCCTTTTGTTACACTTGTACCCAATATAGCAGGCTGGCCTTAACAAGAAACACCTAGAATTTCACATGTGGTCTATCTAAAAGTTTATTTACTACAAAATATAGCACCTGAAAGATTAACTTTGATTCAAGGAAGCTATAACAAGTTTAGGGAGTACAGTATGGTTTCCGAAAGATCAGTCATTTGTTTTTTTGGAACTCCTGACTCATTACAAAAAAGATTTTGCATTATTTGAAATTTTAAAAGTGTTAAACTCAGACAGCAATCCTACGCCAACATTCCTGAACACAGTAAAACACAACAAAATTTAACTCCATTTATGTAATGATACAATGAAAGTATCTGATTTTAAGTATTATGTTGGTCAATTGTTTGGTTAGGTAAAGGTTCCCCTTGACATTTAGACCAGTCATGTCTGACTCAAGGAGGTGGTGCTCATCCCGGTTTCCAAGCCGTAGAGCCAGCGTTTGTCTGTAGACAGTTTCCATGGTCACGTGGCCAGCACGACTAGACAGTAGAACCTTCCCATCATGGTGGTTACTATTTATCTACTCGCATTTATACATGCTTTTGAACTGCTAGGTTGGCAGGAGCTGGGACAAGAGACAGGAGCTCACTCTGTCATGTGAATTCAATCTTACGACTGCTGGTCTTCTGACCTTGCAGCACAGGGGCTTCTGCAGTTTAACCTGCAGTGCCACCATATCCCTATTGTTTAGTTACTGACTCTAAAAAGGATATAATTGAACCATTATGATGGTCATATTTTCATGCTTATGTTTTCATTAAATGATCAATGAAAGTGTAAGAAGTAAGGGTTCCCTGATTCATCTGGGGTCCTATTTGTTGTCTAGTGTCCTGAGAGAGTGGAGGATGAAGATGACCAGTCTGATGGTGATGGCAGCCAGATTCCCAGAAACCAGTGTGAACAACCATTCTCTACTCAGCCAGCTAATAAAGAAAGAGCTAGGCTGGAGGCAGGGCTTCAGGGCGCATACTGGAACATCACAAATTTCTCTTGGGTCTGTTCCTGGGGTATGCAACTGCTCCACTAGGCTATCTTTGTTGAAGCTGCTCCTTTTCTCCTCAATATTCTTTAGGGCACCCAGTTCTATTATGGACAATATACAGTGGGGTCTCGACTTACAAACTTAATCCATATTGGAAGGCAGTTTGTAAGTCGAAAAGTTTGTAAATCGAATCAGCATTTCCCATAGGAATGCATTGAAAACCATTTAATCAGTTCTGGCTGTTTAAGTCAAGCAGCAGTTTGTAACTCGAATCATTAGTTCCCATAGGAACTAATGCAAAGCCAGTTAATCCGTTCCTACCACTGGGGGCAGAATTTTTTTGCCTTTTAACCTAAGATGACTTAGGCTTTAAAAAAGGAAAGAAAAGAGGGAGGGAAGGAGGGAACAGACACCTTTTCAACAGAATACCTTGAAAAGCACCTTTTCAACCAAGACAAAGCACCTTCTGGGAAAAGCCAAGCACCTTTCAGACAACAGATCACCTTGATAAGCACCTTTTCAATCAAGACAAGCCAATACAAGCACCTTTTGGGGGAAAGGGGGGCAGCAAAGGAGGGAGGGAACACCTTTTAAAAATCCAAAAATCAAAATTTTTAAAACAGCCAAAATATAAAAATACAGTCTGTACAGCACTGTACTGTACCAGGCAATACCAGGTAGTACCACACAGTCTGAAGACTGTCTCCAAATCCACTCTCAAAACACTGGAAAGAGCGAGGAAGCAGACAGGCACCCTTTTCACTGGCCAACGTTTAACTGAAAGTTCAAATTTCGCACTTTCCCCACCTCCCACACATTTTTTTCCGGTTTGTAACTTGAATCTAAGTTTGCAAGTCGAGTCAATATTTTTCTATCAGAGCGGTTTGTAAGTCAAAATGTTTGTAACTAGGGTCGTTTGTAAGTCGAAGGTTGACTGTATTATGTAATATTCTTTTGTGATTTATACTATATTCTTCCTTTAATCATCCATCACAACTTCATTGGAGGGTGGCAGTACAGGACATTAGGGTGGATGTAATTTAGGAGGAATGAGGCCTGTGTGCCAGTGTTTTTTAGGGAGCCCTTTAGGGCATCTTGGGTTGAAGATGATTGGGGATCTGCCTGGCTTAGTGGCTAGCTGCACTGCCTTCACCACAGATAGTAGGAGGACCACACAATGGCCTTTCAGGTAGCATCTAGGGAGCTACCATGCCATTGAAATTCCCCAGCAGCCAGGCCGGAGTGGCTTATATCACTTGGCAGCTGGATCAGCTGATTCCCAGATTTGTTTGCCTTGTGCTGTACCAAGCTGATTTGGTTGTAACAAATAAAGCTGGTTCATACATTTTTAAGACAATATAGTGTGATGTTTCTTCTGAGGACTTTAGTGACCACGTATGCCACCTAAGTCTGCAATGTATTATTTTTAAAATGGACAGAAACCTAAACAAAGCATATAGCACCCAACAACACTGTGTATGTATGTGTTGCTGTTTTTTTTTAAAAAAAAAAACACACAACACAGTTCCAGTTGGTCAACACTCCTTAGAATTTACCTTTCCTTTGACAAAAATGTCTTCCCCTTTCTTTGGTAATTTCCTCTTGCCAGTGTCTCCCATTGAACCTTTCAAAGTGACATACACATCTGAGTCTGTTCCTGATCCTGGGGATGAGTCCGTTGAAATGAAGAGAACATATTCTTTAACTGGGAAAAAAGAAATAGTAAATATCAGTCAAGAAAAACAAATGATTCTTAAGCATAATACTTTCATTAGTAGCCTGTTTGTAGAAATCTACTCCATCTGCTGCCACTCAGTGCAAGAATGTCAGAGAAAGATGAGGCTGCAGTGGTCCGGCTGATGACTTAACTGTTCTCAATAAAGAAGAAACTTTCATTTCATCTGTTGTCAATCACCTCTAAGCCTTATGACATTTCTCCTGTGCTCAACCATTTCTTCACACCAGGTCCAATTCTGCCTTCTGCATCAATTTTGACAGTCTCTCATAGAAACTGTGAGGAAGGCCTCCAGCATGTGTAGGCACTACCAACGCCTCAGGAAGGAGACCTGGTATTTCATTCTTTGATACTGACAGCCACTTCACATAGCCACCAAGCATTTGATTCCTGCTCTTTCCCCCATCCTTTATCACTCCCAGGTCAGAGAACAGTGGCTATGCCTTCAGAGTGAAATATGTGTAGAAAGAACTACTAGTTGCAAGTGAGGAGGCCCTATCGAAAGATATAATAAAAAGGCTTTAGCCAGAAAGCTAATCTGAGCAGATAATTAACCTCTTCAATGATAACAGAGAATACACAAGCCCACCAACCTGATTCCCTTTCCATCTCCCTTAAATGAATTTTGTTTGTGTGATGGGTAAAAGTGATACTAACGCCAGAAATTACTGTCAGTGTTACTGCCAGAACTTGCTGAAATGAACACGTGCGGATCATTCCATCAGGCTCCTTATCTCCCTGAGCAATTTCTTTTCTAGTAGTAGTTCTAAATGAAACTTTTGTTACCCAGAATCCCATCACATTCACTGATTTTTATGGGGAGTGGGACAGGAAGGTTCCATTTGTTACCATCATGTGTGTATGTGTGGTTTTATCCCTTCCTTACTGTTCTTTATTGTACCTTCCTTCCATCCCCCCCCCCAAAAAAACACCTTAAAGGATAAACAATGGAATTGCTGCACAATTTCTCTTATCTGGTAGCACTAAGAGCCCCCCCCCACCTAGAAGCACACTGGCTGGCCACTTTAAGAACCGTGGCAATCTCCTCCGAAGCCCCTATTCCCCCAGGCCTTCGCAAGGTTCTCGCCCTTCTTCTTTCTTCGCTACCACCAGGTATTATTGCTCTAATACCATTTAACCATGAAGACATGTGTGCTTTTAAAACTTAAGTCATTTATTAGATTAGGGAAGTTAATATATGATTAATATTCGATAAGTAAATCACAGGTTACTAATCACTTGTATTTGAATCAATTCTACTTTAACTTTAAAACTCTATTAACTCTCTCTTCCATTCCTCATTCTCACAGATCTCTAACTCACTCTTAGTCTACTTTTAAGTCTCACACTGTCTCTCACTACCAGAATCTCTCTCAGACTCCCTACACCAGCCTTTATATCCAGCCCTGTCCCCCCTTGACTCTGCCTTCCGTCCTCTCAATGGCTCCTTCTCCACTGTTCAGCTGTGGTGGACAGGTGAGGGTGGGGCTGTTCGCTACAAGAACTAACATATAGCTTTAAGAATTTGTGCTTCAGTTTATTCATTTTCATCTTCCTCCTTCCTCCTTTTTTTTCTTTTGTGTTTTGCATTTCAGGTTGCAGGCCCAGATTTTATTTATTTCATGTAAACTTTTTCCACAAACCTTTCTCAGCTGAAGAGAAGAATCCACATTCTTTAACTATACTCAGTGATTTTATATATAAACCTGTTAGCAAACCTGTTAAAAAGCTGCAGCCAGCTATGAGAACTGGAAATTCAACTACAGTGCATCCTTCAGCATCTGAAAAATCCCGCAGACATGGAAATTGTAGAATTTCTTTACTTTGTCTATGTTGAAGTTTCACCTGCACATAGAAGGTAAAATGAGGTTTCTGTAATGACACAAAGGTCTATGAAGTCCTGCAGTCCACTTTAAGCAATGAATACCAGATGAAAAATGGACATAATGGGTGCCTGTAGTAGGTAGCATCCTGGCGGTGTACACTGTCTCCAAAGAGAGAATCCTGTCCTCCATTAATTTGTCCAAACTTTTTAAAATGCCTTCTAAATATCTTCTCATAGTGAATCCTTCATTTAACCATTTATTGTTAACACTGACATTGTAAACTACATCTTTTTGACTGTAGAAGACATGTTAATTCTATAGCGCAGAAAATTATCTAAAAACGCTAAAGTTGATGGCAATTTATTTTGCTTAAACCATTGAGCTGATTCCACAGTCCTATGCAGATGTGCTGGGCTAAAATCGGTCACTGGGACAAGGATGCGCATGTAACGCTATATCAAGTTCTACTGTGTACCCGGAAGCATGAAAATCCTTTGTACATGGATGTATATGGAGCTTGTAACTGCATTTATCTGTACATAGTTACATAGGTCTTCTGATTGAGAACTACTGTAACCATGAACATGTTCTATAACCAGCTACATGGCATTGTCACCATCCTCAGTTTTAGCTTGGCATATGAGTAGGTGAATGGCTGCATAGGGCTCATGTGTCAGCTGTGCCTAAACTCCAGGATTCCAATACTTTGATATGCACCTAGCTACATTCATTTTGGATTAACTTACCAGATTCAAGAGCCTCGCCAGAAAAGCAGAAAAGGCATTGTTATGCATCTTGTCAGTATTCTTTCATGTTTAACCATTACTTTCATGTAAAAAAATTGCAGCATATAAAAACATTAGCCTCAGACCGGATGAGGGGATCTTTTCTCCCCACATATATCCATCACCAGCAAATCAGAATGCTTGAATTAGCCCAATATTTACAAGAAAAACACTATTACCAGTAAATACCTTTAGGATGTGCAATTATCACCTTCTGTGGCTTGTATTTCTTTAGCATTGCCATTTAAAACTCTACTTAAAAATGACTTCAGAATACATTGTAGGAAACAATGTTTTTCAGTAACAGCCTTTTAAAGAGAAAAAAATCCCAACAACAAAGGTATCTAATGATTCATTTAGATATAATATATTTAAATGAACACAATAAAATGGATGAAAGATGGCGCAAAGGTGAGATATTCGTTATATTATTCAGCTATAACAGAAAAAAGATCATAGTGATTAGTGGGAACTGTAATATCTGGAGGGCATCATTTGGGGGAAGGCAAATTCAGGTCCATTTGTCTGTAAAGTATAGAAACTGCTACATGTGGATGAGGTAACAATTACTCCTTGGCTGGTGATAACACATCTACACTTTGCTGTACTACAAATTGAAAATCTTCTTCCTGTTGAATCCTTCCAGGTGCTATTGTCAGATAGCAAAGAATTCTTGGTAGTATCTTCATGGAACCAAATAGGAACTGCCAGAGCATTGCGCATTAGAGATGGACACGACTTAAGTCGTGACCCTTTGTATGCAGATATCCATGCTCAATGGTTGAGCATGGAGAATCCCCATCCCACCTCCTTGTCTGAGTGGTCGGCTGCTGGAGGAGGCAGGGAAGGAAAGTCTGAGCTTCCCAGACTGGGCAGCTGATGATGGAGGATGACCCGGGTGGTGCGTGGAGGCTTATAAGTGGGGCAACCATCCTGGAGGTGGAAGGTGGGAACCTGTGGTGCTGCGCAGAGATCTTCATATGTAGAGTCCCATGTCTATGTCTATTTAGCATAAGTTCAGTAACATGACAGAAGATAGGGTTCCTTTCCATAGCTGACAACTGTACAGATTTTCTTACTATTGCATGACAGCTGGTCAGAACTTAATCTTGTATACACTACTAAAAGAAGATGGGAAGCAGCCATCATTATATGTTTTATTCACACAAATTCATACAGCCTCAGTCCTCAGGCACTGCAGGATTTAAGGTAGCCTGCCTAGAACAGATCTCTGTGAGTTTCTGGAGAACAGCACCCAATTTGAGGGGACAATAGATGGAACACTGGTCACACACAATTCATAAATGCATGAGTCCTATCTTCTCTCAAATAGCATGGGTATGGGCAACTAATTTATTTTATTTATTTATTTAAAATATTTCTACCCAAAAGGAGCCAAGGCAACTACAACTTCCATCAGGTGTCACCATTGGTTCTGCTTGTCAGGGCTGATGGAAACTACAAACTCTGGAGGAGCACAAGTTGATCTTGATCTAAATCTATATTGGATAGGCATTTTGTGCTTTACCTCACGACAATGCCATGTTTCTCCTCCTGTGTCTTCTGCTTCCAAGCGAACTTTGCACATCATGATAAACTTCTTATTTAGCTCCAGAGATGCCTGGTAAGCCTCAGCTCTCTTAAATGATCCTTTGGGGATGAAAACTGAAGCAGACATTGCTTTGTCATCACAAACTGTCAAAACCAGCTTAGGGTTCACACTATTATTAGAAAAACCACGTGTTGTAATAGTGACATCCCAAGTTCCTAGAAAACAAAACAAAACAAAAGTTTGCTTGTGGTACTACAGAACTTAATAAAACTCAGAATGTGCATGCATGATCACTGATCATATTTGCTATATAATTGCTGAACATAAGACACATGAAACAAATGGCAGTTAAAATACTGGATCTTTTACTAACAGCAAAGCAAATACTAATCATTATTGCAACTAATCATTTATGAGCTGGATGGATAATTCAGTGAGTTAGGTATCTGTCTGGGACTTCAATTCCCCACTGTGCCATCCAAGAAAACAGCCAGCCTGTGTGGCCTTGGGCAAGCTCCACTGTCCATGACTTCCTCAGAAGAAGGGAATGGTAAACCATTTTTGAATATTTTCTACCTGGAAAACCTTGAAAAGGACTTGACAGGATGTGATTATTAATAATCATTTATAGAGTATTCTGAATCTGTAAATTATTTTATAAGCTTGTAGTCTTTTTGTTCACAATGACATTATAAACAATGACTTTTTAACTTCTATTGTACAGAAAGAAATATGATTCAAAGATAGAACCAAATAGCCCCCCTTTCCTACTCAGCTGGCACAATCTAGCTAATGTAAACATATATTAAATACTGTTGCTTGCAATGACAGACAATTAAGGACCTGCTTAATTTTACTGTCAAAATTCATGGATTTAATTGGATTTGAGATGAATCGGGCTCCATTCTAGCAAGATCTGTACTATTTCTTCGTACTGCTTTGCAAATCACAAAGTAAATTGTAGGTTAGTAGCAACTACAATAGATCCATGAAAGGCAATGGGATACGTTATTTGCAACTAATAGAATCCATTTTTAAAAGAATTACTCTATTTGAGACTAACAATGGATTTAGACCTTTGCTCTCTGTAACCAAATATGTGTTTTTTTCTTTAATTTGGTTTCTAGTTGTTCAAGCTCTAGACGTTGTCTAGAGGGGCGGGCTAAAAATTGAATAAATAAATAAATAAATAAGCTCTACACTCTTCTAATTTCTTTCTCTTCTACATCTCTTCTATATCCAGTCCTCAAAACTCATTTTAAAATAGTGCTCATACTTCTAATTCTTTGAATCTGTATGTCTGATGTTAATATATCTTTTAAAATTTAAATATAATAACTGCATTATCCAGACCTGCAAAATACCAGGAGATACAGCTTGCACAACATATTGTTATTAAGGATAAACATGCATTTTCATTAAATTATATTGTTTATTCTCCACAGATTTGCCCAGGAAATAACAATGTTAATGTGGATCAAAACAAACAGTGGATGGTTGGTTGGTTGGTTTTGATAATTTTGCTCCTCACCATGAAGGTTTCCTGCTAGACGTTCTTTCCTGACTTTTCCAAGAAGCTGGAGTTCTCGCTTAATCTTTCCATCAGCAACTCCACTGTCTAACCATTGTCGACATGGGAATATATATTGGCCATCATTCTTCTCTAGCTCTTGTACTGTGATTTGGTCAAGGTAGCAACCAGCTCCATAACCAAGCTGATTGTGTTCAACATGCACTTTGCTTAAGATCCCCAGATCTACTGCTCGAACACTGAACGTATTCACCTATTGTGGAAAGTAAGCAGAAGATGGCCGACATCCAGGTTATGATAACCATATTCAGTGTTCCTCAATTATACCATTAAGGAAAAGAGTATCATTTTCCTGTTCAATCATTCTATCTGCTTATATTTCATTCCCAAAATGGCTTATTCATGTGCAAAATCTTAGTGTTGAGATCCATTTAGAATTCAGACAAAGCAAATTTAAAATCAGAATATTTGCTCATCACCAAGATACATTTATTTGTTTATTGACTACATTATCAAAATTATAACATTTCTCCAAAATATTCTAAGCAGGTAATTGTTAGTTTTGCTGCTAACATAATCAAGGTAGTTGATCAGAACAATTACAATCTCAAAACCATGGGTCTATATGATATCATTCATGCTGTTGCCCTATTTACCAAGATGTAATTCTGTGAAAGAATGTACAATATGAAAATAATCAATGTAGCCTTTTGTTCTCACAGTTTCCTAAAATCCACACACAGCTGTCAACACTGACAGCAGAAACTGTCAGTCTTTTGTTCCAGCGAGTGCAAAAAGGCCATGCAAGTAAAACAAGATGCATTGTCATCAGTACAAAAGTACATCTCTCTAAATACTACCATAGTTTAAGATACAGAATAATGTGGCAGCTGCTGCAGAAAGGCATATTGGGATGAATAAATTATGTTGCAGAATGTATGTTTGCTATTTGAAAGAAAATAGCAATGAGAAGCTCAGATGGCTAGTAGAAGCAGCAGTAACTATCATCTCATTTACTCGCAAGCACTATACAACCAGCTAAAGAAAAATGAAATTAAGCCATGAAGAAATCATTTTTATGGTTCAAAAAAAGGACAGATTGTTATACCCATCTTTCCTTTTTTTCCCCTTTTTCTTTTCTTTTTCTTTTTGATATATGACAATGGTCTACAACATTCTAAAGAAAAGTTACATGAAGCATATCATTGCTACTAGAAAAATAGAATTTCTGATGTTTTTTACCTTCATATATTTATCATCTTACAACACAGTTACCATGGCAAAATACAGCTCTTATGAAAGGCCGCAAACCAGCAATACTGGAGAAGAATGCATTGCAAATAACTTTTGGAACATTTGAACACCTTTGATTTTGTTGTCTAGAATTGCCAGTCTTATTGTAGTGTCATGTTATATGCAATTTCCTACACAACGGTCCATAGTAGGAATATTCTTCTTTACTGTATGTTAGTACTGTTCAGTTTGACATCAATCATTAATCCCATTCTATATGAAAATAAATCATAATCCTCAGAAAAGAGGACAAAAAGACCCATTAAATACACATGATACTACACAACCTTCACTATTAGCCAGAATGTATTTTTGGTGTATGTTACACACACCATAGGAATCATAACTGATAAAAAGAATTATTATATTCAAATTGACTTTCCTCAGTGGTTCCCAAACTGCGTGCTGTGGTGCCCCAGGGCACTGCCACACTTGGCCAGGGGTGCTGAGTAATCCTTGTAATCCTTGTAAGTAATCCATAGAAGTACTACTCTGGTCAAGCTTCCCCCCTCCATCCCCTGCTCACCCAAAGTATCTTATTGTGGGAGCCTTGGCCAACGGCCAGCACTGTAAGTGAAGGGAGCCATGAGTTAAAAATTTTTGGGAACTACCAGCTTTCCTGATTTATACTCTGCTTTGGCTATGCAGGACACTGTCCTACTCATTTAACCCATTAAACCAATGGAAGCATAGAGCTAAAAGGATAAGTAATAGCATTATTTTAAAAAACCTTCATTTGTAATTTAATCAAATTGCTTCATTTTCTTTGAGCATACAGTTATGAATACAGCTACCAGGAGTACATTTAGTAGAGGGACTTTGCTACAGTTGAAATAAGGAATCCCAATTTCCAGAAGGGATTCATACAGTCTAACTGCTGAAGTAGAAGACTCTAGCATGGCCAGATCTATATATCAGAAAAATGCCTCATCAAAGTTGATTAAGAGGTTCTGAAGTGACATAGCACACATCTTTCTCTTTGCTCCAGAACTAATGTATGGTAATATATAGAAAAACCAGACCATGGTATTGCTGTAGTGAATAACACTCCCATCCCCCACAACAGTAATTTTATTCCAGTGAGGGGTAATGCTATGTAAAACAACAGGAGTGGCCACAATAAAATTAGAAGGCATGCATAGATTGAACCATTGACAGATACTCATCTAGTTTCTTTGCACACCATGGCAGAATATTCCATAACTTTCTTTGGTAGGTTATTGAATTGCTCATGCAATCAAAACAACAGAAAACAACCCACCTATTGTTAGTTGAAATAAAATTTAAATGTGTTGGTGTGATTTGTTTTGAAACAAGAACTGATGAGGGAAGGGTACAGTGACCACCACCCCCAAACCAAAAAAAACCCACTGTCTTTTATTGGTAGCTTGTTATACAGTGTTTGAATGTCAGGTTGACAATTTGCCAAACAACAATTAAATTAACATGCAGTGATTGCTAAATAGAGTTATATGAGAAGAAACTTCCATCTTATTTACAAAATAGATGGAATCAAACAGTGGTAGATATTGATTGGATGGACTGGAAACATTCCAAAGTTGTCTATTGGTTGTCTGTCTGAAATTAGCCGTAGCAGAATTCTATTCTCTAACAAATTGATTGGGTTGAACACCTTGGCTGGTAAGTACTTACTGGCAGGTTCAAAATTAAGCTAGACAGTGAAGATAAGAAAAGAAAACCAGACATTCAAGAATAGGGATGTGCCATTCAGATTTTTGAACTCCAGTTCCCAGAATTCTCCAAGAATTCCCTGGGCAGAATTATAGATGTTCCAGCCCATAGACACACACCTATGGACAACCTACATTTTGCACACCTGGGGAAGGGCCTACCTCCAAGATTGTATAACCTATCTCTGGCCTTGCTTCCTAAGGAAGCTATTACAGCTCTTCCTGGGATCAATAGTTCTTCAGGAGACATTCTCTACAGAGCCTAAAGGGCAGCTAGACTACAACTTTCATGAAGCAATATTGTAGCTTCCCTCCTCCTCCTCCTCCTCCTCCTCCTTGTCGTTGTTGTTGTACATTAACAATATCAAGCAAAGCCAGAGCTAGACTATGCAGCGTCAGAGTTAGGCCCTGTTCTAAGTGAGTGAAGTGAAAGTCAGACAATGTAGTCAGCACTGCTTGCTTTTATCAGATCTATGCTAGGTTCATATTTAAATTCTCTTCCTTTTAATCCTCTCTTCCCCCCCCCATCTGTTTGTAGATCTCAGTGACAATTGTTTCTTTTCATTCATTGCTTATCAGGTTTTAGAAAATGTTTTGGTTCTTAATTCTGTAATTCCTATTTCTTTTATTTTTTTTTCTCACTGAATTTCTCTCTCCCCATCCTGATTTCTAAATCTCATCCCACCCCAGACTCTCTCTCTTTTTCTCTCTCTTAATCTTCAATTTCTGCCCCCACCATTAGTACCTAGGTTAGTGTATTAGGCTTCCAGGTCCTGTTGCTAGCTTGACTAAAGTTATTTTCAGTCTCTCTGTTTTTATATGGTTCATGCATATGTGAGACTGTGCATCACCATCATCAACATATCTTTTTTTAGCAAGCATACGCACAGCAACTCCCTGTTGTTTTGACTGAAGCAGAATACTGCTTGAATATGGATATAGTTGGCTGATACTTTGACTCAAGAAGACTGATGGTCTTCCATGTCTACTCCCCAACATACCATCTTTGCTGCTTTGCTCTTTCACACTGTAAACTGTGAGGACACTGTAGAAAGTCAAATTAAATACTGGAGGGACAGTGCCAGTGGAAAAGCTTCATGATGAACACAGTGAACAGTTGTTTTGAAAAAACTATTGAAGCTACAAGGCTTAAATTCAGTCCCCTCCTCAGGCTCTACCAGATTGCCAGCTTTCCTATACACATTTTGGTTTCTTGATGCAAAGGAATGGGAACAGTGGTGATCCTGATTTCTAAATCTCATTTTGGATTTGGGGTCTGGTTTGGATCAAATCTGGGGTCTGTGAACGATATACATTTGTGAAAGCATAATTCACAGACCTCTTTCATGCTGTTAATCTTTTTTTCACATTCCCATTTGATCAAGCATTCAGCCCCTTGCTTACTGAGAGAAACTGATTATTTCTATAAGTGTTGCATTAATTTACTACCAACATTTATTTATTTATTTATTTATTTATTTATTTATTTATTTATT